CCCCCCCCCCCCCCTCTCTAAGTCCGTACCTCGAGTGATAACCAGCGGCAGATAAGATTCTTTCTTTCACCCGAGAAGAAAAGACCTCCTTCCCTTATCCATCCTCCCGTCTTGCTTTCTCGCTGTACCTCGCAGTAAGTCCATACGTCATCCCGAGATATTCGTTTCCGGGTTCCACGCTATGGAAGAACGGAGAGAGGAAGAGCAATTAGACGGAAGATATTTGAACGACGGACATTGTCCAGGGGTGGCAGAACTGTGGCAGACATACGAAACGATAGAGGCCATCGTATCGGATAAGGATAGACAAGGATATCGAGCGGACGCAAGGGAGGATAAAGGGTAGAAAGAAGAAGATATGTAAGGGTTTTTTGTGTCTTTCTTTTCCGTTTCCTACTTCCCTCTAGCCTTCTGCCTCTCTCCCTCTCCCTCTCTCTCTCTCTCTCTCTCTCTCTCTCTCTCTCTCTCTCATCGCTCGTTCTAGAGCATGCCTTCCATTCTCTCGGTGGTCTTTTCTGAGGTAGGTCACGGATCTTTCATCGTCGTTAAGGTAGAGCACTGAATTCGCTTTCGGCAGATATAAATGTTCAGCTGATTTCTTGAAACTGTTATGTTTCATGGTTTATGGTTAGAAAATATCGATATGAAAACGATTTTTTATATAGCGAAATTTCCAATGTTTAATTGTGATAATTAATTTCTATTTCTATAGATGAAATTATTCATATTACAAAATGTGACTTTCGTTAAAAAATTTAATAATTCTTTATGGATGTTTTTGAAACATAAAATAAAGTTGATTTTATCGATTTGGGAAGTTGAACTGAAATATATGATCTGTGCGAATGTAATGGGTAGATTAATGAAATGGCCACGATTCGAGCTTGATGAGTCCGACATGCTGCCATTGATCCGACATGTTCTCGCGTTTCGTGCCATAAATCACAAGCGGGGTATTGATGCATTCATGCGATTTTCTAATATTTCGTAAAATCTCATTTGATGACTCGTATTACGGTGATACCAATCATTGCTCATGATTTTGAGTATAAAATTTCTCAAGTCTCCCTATAACCATTGTGTTACGCGCCCCAAATCCAATCACTTTATGCAAATGTATTCTCTGAACACACACGATGATTTTACCTGATTAGCTTTAGGCCAGATTGTTCGATTTTGTAATAAATTTATCCGGAGAGTCAGTTCAAGCATATCATCAGCCATGCATAATACTACATATATGTATAGTAATCTAGCATAATGGCACTAATGGCTTCAGGGTGATTGCTTAAATAATAGATTTCAATAAGGACGACATAATTTTTCTTATAATTGATTATAGAAATTATAATATTTTTCAAAATAAAAATTTGTATGAATTTATTTATTATTATCACTTTATTTTATATAAAGTATTTTAAAAATACAAAACGTTTAGTTTAGAAAAAATTGATTGAAAATTGATTAAAATAAAAATAATTATACATTTTTGTTCAATTTTGGAAATTTTTATTACATTATTATGCAAATAAATTGAATACTTGAATATTTCAAGCACCAAAAATAAGTAAAAAGTTATGCATTATTATAATAATATAATGTACCATCCAGGAATACGTAATACCAGGAATACGTAAATTAAAGTTTGACTTAATTTAAAATAAAATGTATGACAATAATATATTAAATTTTTGTCCTAGATTTTACTTTTTTATAAGGTAGTAAAAAGCTTCGGTAATTAACGAACTTTGATTATATAATCAGTGAAATGGTTTCAAGGGTTTCATACTAAAGTTCCGTTTAATTCCGTTTAATTCTTCACGAGAATTGGCCTTAAGTGTTCTTTGTGGAGTCTGGTGATCGATAAATCATTTTGTAATTTAAACGGTGATAGAGTAAAACGACTTTTAATTACGACAATTCATTAAGATATAGAAAAATAATTCGTGAATTTTACATTCATTTATTAAAAGAAAAACTTGTGGTAGAAGAGTAAAATTTGCATATATTTCTTATGTAACAAAAACAGATGAATATTTGAAGTTATTTTAAACATATTGTTTCAGAGACTGTTTGAAATAACGTATAGACTACTAAATAAACTAATAAGAAGTCTGTGCATATTTTTATTTTAGAACTATATCTAAAAGAAGATTGATTTTGAATTAAGAAGAACAATATCAGTCAATTTTAATTAAACTATTTTCGTAAAATTATATTAGACTGTGCAAAAAAAATTAATGAATAATCAATGCGAATTGTGGACTACCAATCCGCAAATATCATGCTAACTTTATAATAAAAAAAGAATAATTAGAGCAGATTTATTATTCTCCATGACACCATTACAAAAGCTATAACGAAACAAAATAATTAGCATATTTCGCTCGTAGTAATATGGTTCTATGTTTAATCGATCTTATTATAAAATTTTTAAATTGGTTATTTAATTGTCACAAAAAATTATAACTTACAATTAATAATTATGTATGTTCATGGACAAGCATACTGTTTTTATAAAAATATAAGTTTATGTTTAAGTAAAAAAAAATTTAAAGTTAAATTTAATGAGTGTAACTTCATTTAGCAAACGTTGTCTAACATTCTTTTCTTATAAAAGCTTAGCCGGCAAGCACACATCATTTCGACATCAAATACTAGACATGTTCGTACTAATGACATCAAATAACAAAAAATAACAGTCATTTCATCATTATTCAATTATCTTATCATTATATTTTCATTATGATGTAATATATATCTCGGGTTTTGAGCTGTAATGCTTCATTTTACATTGATATTAAAACTTAAAAGTATAAGTTTTTCTTTTAATTATCGTTTCCTGCTTATTTATATTTATCGTTTTATTGAATGTACTTTAAAATCCGTCTCAAATGTAATAATTTCCAAATAAAGTTCGTTCCAACGGAATTTTGTGTGCAATCGTGATTAACTGCTGTATAGTAAGATCATCGTAATAATATCAATTTAAGACTATTTATATTTTTCGATATTAGTCAACTAAATAATGACATAAAACAAATATGATATTTCTGATGATATAACAGAAAAATATCATTTTGTCATATTTAATGATTATTAATTATCATTTTTCTTAATTAAATAATAATTATAATTAAATAAGTATCCTACTACGTTCAAAATCGAGACATAAGACGTCATAAAAACATAATTAAAACATTTTTTAGACATCATTTAAAACGACTTTAAGACATCTTCACACGTCTTACGTTCTGATTTTGAAAAAATGCATGCTGTCTATTAATTAAATATTAATTAATATCTTGGCTCTTTCTAGACGTGCTCTCTTTAAACAAGTGTCAAAAAAATATAGATGCTATTTTGCACATGTAAAAATTGGTGAAAACTGTATTTTATATTTATTTATGAAAAAAAAATTTTAACTGTATGTTTCATCTTTTTGACAATAATTATTAAATTGTTCTGTCATAAGTATATTTCCATTAATTTTTAAATAATTAGGCGGTTATAGCATCCGACGCATAATTATCTTAAAAATCTTGTTTTGGAAAAGGAAAATAAAAAGTATATTGTTCAGAGAAGTCTTAAAGTTTATTATTTTTACGTCCTTCTATCTTCTAATCTATTTCATAAGAGTGTAATTAATATAAATTCAGCTTTATACATACTATTAAAAATATGACTGTAAAAATAAAATTCTTTTAGGGTGTCCTGAGTACTCCGTCTACTTAAAGATTAACGTTAAATATTCATAGATAATCACAAAATATCCCGTACGATCACAGAAGTTAAACACTGCTAATGGGTGACGCAGTAAATTTTTCTCAAGTACCTTTTTGGTCATATATATATATATATATATCATCATTATATCATTATTATATCATCATTTTATCATATAATGTCGCTTATTTGTGACATTAGATTGTCATTTTCATGTTTTGAAAACGTCAATTAATGACTTTAATAGTGATCAATGAATAACCCAAATCTATTGTCCAAATTACGTATGTCTGTTATCTGGAGTAATTTCCTCAATAATACCGATTTATTAAGTACCAATGGGCGGGCTTGAAATATTTATATATTGCAAACATATTTTAATAAAAATATTATAAAATACACATATTTACCTGATAAAAGCATAACCTTTGTCCTTAAATACTCGAATTTCTTGGATGGATCCGAAGGGTGAGAAAGTTTTCTGCATGAGTTCTTCTGTTAAACCATTGGTCAAACCGCCGCAGTATACCGTGCAGTTGGTCGGACTACTTTGATTGTAAACTTCATCGAACGTCAACGGCTTTGCATTCGCTGTGAGACAAAAAAAATGACAAACTTTAAACTTTATTTAATTGCATAACCTGTTGAGAGGTCTAAGAAAACTGGTTCAAGCGTTAATAATCGCAGCTACGGCGATAACTCCTGAATATTAATTGTTACGTGTCTTTCTTGATTCAGAACATAAATTTATGACACAGAGTATTAAATATATGAAATTCTTACATATTGCTATGTAATATAAAAAATATGTAATATAAAAAAACAGTTTACTACGAAAGCTCAATTATGGCTTGAGCTAACGAGTTTTATACTGTGAATTTTTAGATTACGTTTGCTACAAGTTGTTGATGTTGATTCTGTTTACACTAGGAGATTAATTACTCTTAGCAAATATAAAATTCAAAATTGTGTAGAGAAGTTTAATAAGTTTAATTTAGATACACATATACAACGTCCACTATATTACAAGCTGTTTTAATCGATGTCAATGTAACAATTTTTCTCAATTGCGCTTAATTTAAAACTCTATCAATTACATATTAAATCAAAATTCTGAAAATAGGATGCTGTATTCATAGATATTACTATGCGTCAAATATTAGTCACAATGTTGTATAATTACAATAAAATATTCCGTGATCAGGGAAATGTTTCGGGAAATATTAGCTGCCATACCTCATTGAGGCATTTATTTTGTTATCAATCAGTGGCACACAATCACGCTGTTGAACGCATAACTCCTGCTCGTTTGCAGTCATGATTGGCGTATAAAGAATGAGCAGTGTTGAAGAGTTACGCAGATATTCATCAAAAAACGATCAGCGCACGATGTAATGATTATTCCGTTTGCGACATCGAACGACAATCGGATACGATCCCGATAGCAATATAAGAAACAACACGCACATGGGGCCTTAGGAAAGCCATTATTGAAAGTATCTACTTCCCCCAACGCGATAGATCTCTCATGTATCCTTTACTTTTTCCCCCCCCCCCCCCCCTTCTTTCCCACGGTATTACTTTTACTGATACTACGAAAGAGGTCAACCGGGTTTCACGGTGTGGTCGGAGCGGGACGCGAGAGCAGCTCGAGATATCGAACGCCAATGCCAAAGAGGTTGAATCCCGTCAGCTAAGTTTACGATCGTACGGGGGCTTAGCCTATACGGCAGAAGCAGGCTACGGGTGTAAACGCGACCGGTAAACCACGGCCTGTAATTGCCTCGTTCAGGGATGGAGGTTCTCAGAACGGCAGAACGTCCCGTTAAGAACTTACCGAGGGACGTTCTCTTCTTTTCTCAAAGCTCGGCATTATCTCTTTATTGCCTGGTGAACGTTATTCTCAGTATTCCCGGAATGTCGGCGCAGCTTGCCCGCCTCCGTCGCCGCCACCGCCTATGGTCGGCTTTAAAAAATTTTGTTTGTTCTAGAATGCTTATTTCGCAAAAAGAGAGATTGAAATATCTGCACTTCTGACGCTTGCGAAGCTGTGAACTTTTTACGGTTTTACCTTCTTTGATCGCCGGTCGTTTCGCAAGTTAATAGCTGAGAATTATTATACGACAAAATGTAACGAATCAATGCGTTATCGCGATACGGTAGTTAATTAGTGCGATATCATTTTTTACGAGTCATATGATTGCTAAATCTGTTCATTACGAAAAAAATATTTTCAGAGTAAATCAAAAATTTCCCCAAGCATTTCTAATGTATAATAAACATTCTTTATTTTCTTTTATCAGAAGAAATTAGATTACTAAATTTGTGAGAAAGTCTTGTAATTTATGTTGTTTTATAATTATAGAATACAATATAATAAATATACAATAAATGTGTATGGACGTTATATCATTGGACTTAAACATTTATACTACAGACATAGATTATATACTATTTTGGCATAGCTTCATTATTAGTATTCATAATAATTGAATTAAGAATTATACACATTATATACATCATATTGTGAATGTGTGGGTGTATATTATTTTATAATTAGCAAGCAATTTTATGTCAAGATGCAGATAAATCATATCATCATACAAAAAAGATATGTCTATCTGTACGTCTAACTGCTGTTTATGATCCTACTCAGAACATGCAAAGTTTTTCGTAATATTACGATTGAATAAATTTTTCAATTACAGAAAATTCGATCTCTTAAAAAATATTAATTATCATGTTTATTGCCAGATACCTGAAAATATAATTTTGATTCCGACAAGATAAGTAAATTAAAGTTTGTGAATAAATAATTCCGACAAAAGCTCAGAACAAAAGCTATTTTTGAACATATAAATATATAATAATCGTTTCATAAATAATTTATTCTAGCACAGAATGATTATAACGCGTATATACGACACGATATTTTAAAATGATGCTGGATCTATACTTCATATCCTCTTTTTAAAACTGTAATAAATTGCCTTCAGCAGAATATTAATTTTATATTGGATTTTAAGCGACACGAGAAGCTGTCACTGCTTTTCTGTCAATACTTGTCCGCGCTGTGGACGTAGTTTTCGAGATTTAAGAGAGAGCGAGAGGAGGAATCGAGATTCAAGATATCGGGGATCGATTGGAAGAATTGCTCCCAACGTTTTGAAGCGGTTATATCAAGAATATCTGGTTGAAAAATTGAAGAGCTATTGTAGATCTATGGCGATGGTTTTCGTACGGAGCGGATTCCATGAAAGAGAAAAAAAAATTTCAAAGAAAGCTTGCGGAGATGAAGTTGATTCGGACATGGAATGATACTGGATGAAAGAACAACTATACGATCGTATTTTTATCACGTTGAGTTTTTGATTGATTCTGATATGATACATAATATACAGTAATATATTCAAATGAGAATCGGGATGAACAGTATCATCTATAATGCATAAAATCGTTATATGTCGATTTGTATTTACATCATTAGGTACATATAAGTAGCTGTATCAGTCCGATGTAAGCTTCAACCAAAGTCAGTTAGTCACAAATGTATTATAGAAAATGTAATGTAATTTTTCAAAAAATAAATTTCTCATATATATTCGTATATGTATTATTGACAACTTTTATGTCATTTAAAATATGTATAAAATAAAATTAAAAAGAGAATACAAGTAATAAAAATAAGACAAGATATTTCTACTTAATTCAAAAATTTTTTGACAAAAAAATAATTTACGAAATTTGATATTTTATCCTATTTTTTTAAGTAATGAAATTTATAAATTTTAAAATTCTGATGCAGAAATACCACAGAAATCTGGTAAAAAAAAATGATTCTCAGATATAATTGGACTTGCTCTTTCGAACGTTGGCTTTATTTCCTCTCTGCCAATTCTTAGTACTTTAATCGAAATATTCCTCTCTCTCTCTCTCTCTCTCTCTCTCTCTCTCTTTTCGAGATTGGGCTACTATACCGATTCAAACTGATTTGATTCCATTGAGTGTGCGATATTCCAATTTAACCCCTCAGGCATGATTTTCTCGACGTTTCCATTTTAAGTGGTCGACTCATGCGTCGTATGCGCTAAGGTCTTAATACGTACCCAACCCTAACGTGATTGCACGACTGGCACGATCCTGAAAACGCTATTTACCGACGTATTATAGTCACAGTCACACACCGTCGATATGTTTAAAGTTCGACGTTTTCGAGAGCTGCGCTTGCAGAAATTACGTGTCAGTTTACGCGGCAATAAAAGTAAGTAACTACTTTCGAGTATTGAGTACGCGAGCGTAGTAGCAACGATATTATAGGGATTAAAAATTTTCTGTGCAGAAATATCCTATAAATTTTCATCGACTAATAATCCATGTTATAATACTGCCGATTGAACAAGAATTTGGTGCCGACAAGAAAATATCCAAATTCGCTGGTTCTATCAGGTCACTTTCGCTCTTTGCAAATGATCCGTGATTTATGATCCCTCGGACGTGCCTGGTCGAAGATCCGCCATTACGGAAACAGCCTGTAGTTCTAGATTCGGCTCATTAGGCAGCTGATTACGTGGACGTGCCTAAATCGAAGTTCTATACGTCAGGTCAATGGCGGCTCCGGCGTATTCCCGTGAAACTTTATTCTTATCTAGCGGGAACCACTTGGCGATCGAATAACTAGATTTATCGCGCGAATCTAGTAACTTTTTACTTCACTGAATTTCCGATAACTCGCCGCTCCCGAGAGCCGGGAGATGAAAGATCAACAAGAAATTCGGGGGTAAACTCGAAATTTTCTACCGACCGCGTCGGAGTCCGGACGCGCTAGTTCTAACCTTAAGTAAAAAAAAGGTGCAGAACACTGAAGTGAGAAGAGAAAAAAAGAAAGGACGACGGCTTTAGACCTCCGCAATATCTCCTTGCTCTTTCCTTCTCCCGAAAGGGAAGTTTCCACTTTTCTCCGTTTTATGGCGGATGGAATCTCCAGTGGTCGACGATAGAACCCGAATGTACGTATCTCGTGCCCTCTTAAATAACGCGGGTACTTGAAGTTTCGTTGGCACTGGTCACCCTAGCAGCGCGCCAATATTCGTCCCGACTAAATTCATGGTAGCGGGTACTAAGTGGACACTGGCTGTCCCCGTGGCTATTCTCCTTTTTCTTATTCTCGGACATCCGTGGATATCTGAATAATCAATGCTCGAACTGACGCTGCATTTGTAACTTTCTAGTGGTTTATGTAAATCAGGACGAACTGAGCGGAATGGGTAGTTTCTTGGTTCCCGTCGCACGAATACTTTGTCCGTTTCCTATTTGGATTATTGTTGCATTATCCATAACTTCACAAAAGTGTATTTAAGTCATTGTATTGTGTTAAATTCGTGCCCGGATATACGTCCAGCGATATTAGGTTCTTAAAAAAAAAAAATGCAGGCAAAAATTGTAATATGTATGTAAAAATTTGACAATTAATTTCTTATGTATTTATTGCAATTATTTATATATTTGCCTTGTATTATATTATTAAATCATGTTTTCATGTTTACTTAATTGTCTACATATATAATTTTAAATTATAAATAGATACTGTTAGA